TCTACGAATCTTTTGCAGATAGAAAACATGTGGTCCATGGTTGCTGAACGATTGACCCAGATTACATTCCAAGCTGCCACACCAGATCAACTTTGGCAGCATGTGGAAGCTGCTTGGTCTGCTGTACCCCAAAAACACATCCAAAGTCTCTTTGAATCAATGCTGAGGCGTGTGGCAGCGGTGATCTCCAACAATGGTGGCTACTCTGTCTACTGATTCTAGAATGAACCACACTTCACAGAAGTCTATAAATTTAATCATTTGATACTTGGTCAACATGTTATCTACTAAATAAATTTTGTTGTGATATCTCTTGTCTTTCTTGGTGTTGCAATTTGGGTGGCCAGCAGTGTAATTTAAGAATTCTATATTAACTAAAACGTATGTAACGAAAAGTTACATCAATAATGTATTTTTGAGTATCATTAACTTTATTCTTAAGAATTTTCTGCTGTCTAGATAGCGTTATTTTATAAGTACCAAATAAAAAACAATTAAATTTTTACATGGCATTAGAAAATTCACCAAAAAGTAGCGACCCGCAATGTATTTGTAATTTGATAAATGGTTCTTAGACGTGAAAAGGTTGAACAACATTTGAGATACGACTATTTTCTCAGATACTCAGGTATTTCGTATATGTATGTCGAGTTGCAAAACTCAATATTTACACTACAGATCCATTGATGTTATAAATATGTGTCTTTCTACTCCTATATGCAACTGCAGAACTTTTACTACTCTACATGTGGCTGCAGTATAAAATCACTTCCAGAAACTGGAATTTCTGCGAATTCTAGTGAACTTTAGGGGGCCTGACTTTTTTTCCTGTATCTGAATTTTTGCAGCCATTGTCACTTACTCGCCTCAACAAATTCAGAATTTGTTTTCACAATAAACCCGAACAACATTTTGACCTCGGTTATAGCTAATGATTTGAAAGCTGTTCTCCCGAGGGGAATCAAAACTAAAGCATACAACCTTTTTTATGGCAACACTGAATTTAGCTGTTATATCTGCGTGCAAGGACCCATATCTGCATCATATATATATATATATCTGCATCATATATATGTAATATTAAAAGCACAAGGAAAAGCCGGAGCAGTGTCGATGCGTGATTAGATCCATATTGAAGAAGAATTTTGATTGCGCAGTATTTAAAGAACTTGTCAGTCGAGGCAGTTTTAATTCCATTTTTATTTCCAATTGATATTTGTGGCCACAATCACTTGGCACTCTAGTTGTGCCTTTCCACATTGATATTGCTGAGATAGAAAGCAAGTCAGCGAAATTACATCTTAGCAAAGTAGATAGCAAAAGCTGAAGTGCGTAGTTATGAAGGATGGAAGCACGCGAAGAGAAAAGTTTTGGTTTACAGTTTGGTGATTGGTCGTCAAGAGGCATCTGGTATTAACAATTAATAACTAATGTTTTCAGTTATTCCAACACATCGTGGGCAAATGGTGAGGCTATTCCATTACACGTTCTGGCATATGGTTGACGAAGCTGGGATGATTGAAACACGGAGAAAAATGACGACTCCGGGCTTTTCAATTTTAACAGCAAGCATATCTTTATTTTAATTTAGAGCAGATGACTTTTTCCAGATGAAGTTAATCAAATAACTTATTCAGTAATTGAACTATTAGATACAACTGTCTTCTGCATCATATATATATATATATATATATATACCAGGTTGTTCAATAAGTTCAATAAGAAACCAATTTTTGTTTGTAAAAATGACTTTATTTTTCAGCGTAGTTTCCCTCAACTTCAATACACTTATTCCAACGGTCTTCTAATTTATGGATCCTTTGACTGTAGTGGTTTTTCGGCAGCTCTGCAAAATATCCCTCCACGGCAGCTATTACCTCTTCGTTTGAAGAAAATCGTTTTCCACAGAGATATTGTTTGAGGTGTGGGAAGAGCCAGAAGTCGGAGGGAGCTAAATCTGGCGAATAGGCTAGATGTTGCAACAATTCGTACTTCAATTATTTTAGCAATGGTTTTTTGAGCAGGTGCGCAGGTGTGTTATCTTGGTGGAAAATGATTTTCTTCTTATGTAATCCGTGTCTTCTTTCACGAATTTTTTCGTCTAATTGATTCAAAAGATTACAATAATAATCCAAATTAATTGTTTTGCCAGTTTGAAGGTAATCTATAAACAAAATTCGTTTCACATCCCAAAAAACTGATGCTAACACGGCTGATTTTTGCACACGAACTGGCTTCGGTGCGAAGAGCCGGGTTCACACCACTCCTTAGCCTCCTGTTTTGATTCAGGATCGTGATGGTAGACCCAATCTCATCCATTCTGATAAATCGACGGATAAAGTCACTTTTATTCTTCTTAAAATGCTCCAAATGTTGCTGGCAAAGTCGCATCTGAATGTGTTTTTGCTTCATTGTTAGAGAATGCGGCACCCATTTTGCACAGAGTTTTTTGAAACCCAAATTAACACTCAAACTTTCTGCATATGCGTTGCGTTCACGCATGCTCATAGGCATTTACGAGTGCGCGTAAGCCTTTACGGCTGCGAATATGTGTGTGCGCATGCGCGTTTAATGTGTAACAGACGGTATAACCTAAGCTAAAATTATCTAATTCAGTTAATGTTGCAGATTGCGTTGTTCCTTAATCTTCAAATTGGATACGGCTCATTATTTTTTGCAGACTGTTAGAGCAATTTTATAAAAGTAAGCTTGAACTTTCGATTATGTCAAATAGAATATCCGATATATATTTACTAATATGTAAAGTATCTACAAAGTGAAAGTATGTTTCGAAATCCGAAATCTGTTTATCAATTTCACGCCGCGGCACACAATGAATTGGAAGTTGATCTGTCAGCACTGTCCTTATCTTCAGGGCAGATGTTTTTATTTTATTTGGCTTATAATTCCTTACTAAATGTAGTATTTCATCTCAATGTACTCTGTCTTTGATATGATTAACGTCAAGTTCCTCGTCATTATAATTCGCTTCCGATAGTGAGAAAGTGACCCAGACCAGAAAACGAAAAAAATGTCGATTGACAAATTAGTCGGTATTCTCAACACAGCAATTATAGGACTTCAACAGCGGAACTTTGTAACTAAACAAGAAATTATGTCTGTTTAATAGAATTAAAGAGAGAGTATTATCACATGAAATGAAGCAACTTAAACAACTTACATTGAAAGAAATGTTTAATAAAGTAAACAAATAAATATTAAGCTTTTTCTTTTTGTAAATTTTGACATCCTTTAGATCATAATTGTTCGTTATTTCGTAAATTACGGTTTCATATTTTTAATTTTGTAATTTCTGCATGCTATCTTACCAGATTTAAACTGATGATCTATAATCCGGAAAAATCAATAATCCGGAATCGCCGAAGTCTTGACGAGTCCGGATTAACGACTTTTGACTGTATTACTTTGGTGCTGACAGGGTTTGCAAATGTGACATTCAGTTCAAGCAGTCACTTCTGCAGTTGTAGTCATCTCATTTTTCATTACAATCCTCTTTGATGATCATTTGTCATGATTACTCGACACACATTTTTGTCCGCACTGTGATTTAGAAGATGTGTTTTTTTTTTTCTGTATGAGTTAAAGATCTTAGATATTCTGCCTCTTGAAACACCAAACATTTCAGCTACCTTGGTATGGAAGCACCCACCATATGAGCCCCAAAAATTTGCCAAGGTTTGAATTCTTTTAGCTCCAATATGATGAACGCACAACTGCACAAGACACTGTCTCAATAATGATTGACACTTGTAACGTTATTGAGGATGTTGACCAGATGGCGTTAGTAAGCAAACATATCAGTGCCACCAACAGCTTTTGCAAGAATAAACATTTCATTTCAAACATGCATTTTACGAGGTGTTTCCATATTTTTGTTCAAGCCCTATATTTAATATAATTATTTTTATCATCATTTGTGCCTGAAATTTAATTTGGGTGGGCCTATCTGTATATAAGCAAAAATGAATTTGAAAATTTAGATTTTAGGCATGACTCAAAAAAGTTAAAAATTTTAGCATTTTAAATTCGATTTTTTTAAGAAATTCTTCCCCTCTTTTTTTGTTGTTTTTGTTTTGTTCTTGAAATGGACTTTAATTAAAAAGGGAATACAATTTCTTTTTGTAAATATAGTTTAAGTATTCATTTTTGTAGAAATAGTAGCAGGAATTAGTTTGGAGATTAAATTATAAGTTATAATTAAAAATTTCAAACTGTGTTCTTTTATAAAGCAAGTATAGGTTTGGTTTGTTGATGTGTCCCCCCTTTCTATCCTTATTTATTTGCATTAAAATGGAGTATGTTGCATAAAAAAGATTTTGCACTATTGTAAAAATTCATAGTTTTATAAAACTTGAATTTAACAACTTTTGATTTGGGTACCAAAGTAGTAATATAACCCTTGTTAGTTTCTTGATCATATTCAAACAAAATTATTTAATGTTGAATATTTACATAGATTAGCATAAAGAAGTATTTTTAATTTCCTGTTAGAGAGTTATGCCATCTAAAGTTTTTAAGTTTTATACAAATTCTAATACTCTATATTGTAAGAGAATTATTTTTTGAAAGGTGCGATAGGTATCTTCTAAGTAAAAAAGACAGTAATAAAATAACTTTAAATTATATATTTTTCCCTCTCTCACTCAGTAATATAGTGTACAATAATGAAACATCATGTTGTTCTGTAGTACAATACTTTTCTTATTACTCCCCCTCTGTAGTGTAATATGCTGCATACTTGTGAATTATGTGTGCTTATCAATGTAATATTTATTTTCTATATGTTTCTTAAAAGTCTTGTGTGTTTACCTTGAGGTACTTTAAGTGGTATTCACTTCTATTTTGCTAATTTTATTTTTCTTAAATGAGGTGATATTTATGATCCTCAATGATGTTTTCAACTTCATATATTTCCTTTATAGTTATTTGCTTCATAGTTTGTTGTTTTATGGTTATTAATATTATTATTGTTATTTCAGGATTTAAAATTTTAAAATTGGAAAATATATTGGATTTAGATGAAGATAAAGAGAACAAAAATATAGAAGAGAATTATTTCAGCCAGTTTGTGAAGTCAGAATCACCATCATTATTAGCACTTAGTACAGATCAAAAAACTCTGGCTGTTTGTATTTCAAATAATACACATGTTGTTGCTGATATGTATGATATTGCCGCCTTTGCTGATCCGGTAAAAATTTTATCTTTACATTTCATGCCTATATTTTTGTTTTTATATTAAGTGTGCTTACTTTTTAAAAATTTTATTTAAAATATGTTTATTATATTATAATTTTTTTATTAATTCATTAATTTCTTCTGAGATGTAATAAATATGTTTACATTCTCATTAGTAAAATTTTTATCAAACTAATAGGCTTCCTACTAAATTTAATTTTTAATGCTGTTGAAATGTAAATGAATTTAATATAAACACTTTCATATAATAAATGTACACACAAATTAACACTATTACTTTTGTACCAACACGCAAAAGATGCAGACACAACTGATAAGTTTCATCTTTAGATTTCTTACTGTCATAATTGCCAATTTAAAAAAAGCGGGGCACACAATTATTTAAATGTTTTAATATCCCAACACTTACTTGAAAATTAAGATTACTATGTAAAAACATTAACATGCATATGTGATAATGGTTTTATTGCCCTTTTTCTAATCTATAATTTAAAATATATCAGTCTTTAAATTGATTGCTAATTACTTTTCTGTTGATACTTTCACTTTGGTTAATTTGCATAATCTTTTTTTTTTTTTTTTGTCTGGTAATAAGTATTTGCCTTCAGTAACATTACTAAAAGCATATGGTGCATCAAAATGCAGGATAAAGGTAGTGAAAACTAGTGATTACAGAGTAATCATAAAGATACCTGCTTTGCCATAATCAAATGAACCAAACCAAACCAGTATGAATCATACTGATTCTGCTATTATATTCTGTGCATGTGCTAGAAAATTTTGAATATATTAAGGAGAGATATCTCTTCTTTTGTCTTTCTTCATTATCATAGTTTCTACTTCTAATATCAGAAAAATCTTTATGTGTATTCTGTTATTTAAGAATTCATTCATATTTCCTGTGGATACATGTTTGCTTGCAGAATATAAACAAACCGTCTGTAAGCTACTTATGATTAGGAATAAATGTCTAAAACGCTGTGGGCAAATAAATTTTTTATGAGAATTAACCATGAATTCATAATTTTTTATTAAAAGATGATAAAGATGATATTTATAAATCACAGAATATATACCCCAAAATAGGGATTAACTTTGAATTTAAGTTATACACAGTGACTGAAAGCCATCACAGTGACTGAAATCGAACTTCTGTGCAGTTAGAATCAGTGATTTTTTTTTCTGAAAAACCTGTTTATGTTTTTAAAATTAAAAATAATAATAACATAAAAAATAAGTATAAATTTAATAAATAATTTTTTCTTTTAAAACTTTTGTTCATATTCTTAGTCTAATTGTTATTTTTATTTTTGTGAACTTATTTGTATTATGATTATGTTGTGTATGTTGTGCACTGTATATTATACAAAAAATGTAAGGTAGTCAATGAAAAAAAAATGTCAATGGAAGGAAAAGGTTGGGAATCTCTGGTTTAGATGCTGGAGATAAAGGTACTTGCAATCATGGTCATTTGAGCAGTAACAATTACTTTTTTGATGTAGATACAGATAAATTGGTGTTAAGCATGCTGTTCTTGGATGAATTTTGACATTTTTCAAGCAAGCAGTTTATCTGAAGAATGAAAGAGCTGCAGCAAGCTTGCAAAGCAAAGAGGGAATACAAAGTTGTATTTAAAAAGTTAGAATGAGTCAGTTAGGGTTTCACGCAGTCCCTTTATTTGTTGTCTTACATATGCATATAATCTCTCCAAGTTTATAGGAAATCAGGAAAAATATAATTTTAAAAATTCATTCTAAGCTGCATCATAATTTTATGTTTTAAATATATAAAAAAAGTGCGTCTTAAGTTCTAATGCAAATTGCAAAATTTGCAGAAATTCACAATCTCTATTTACTTTAAAAAGAAATCACTAAGGTGGATGCAGAAAGTGCTAAATAACATTGATAATGAAATAAATTTGCTTCTTCAATCAAAATTTGTTATAAATACTGTGTATTTTTCTTAAAAAGTTTACTTGTTTAACCATGTAAGAAAATTTGCCATTGGGAATTTACTGAAAATTAAAATTTTGTTTATGCATATTTCAAAATTATTCCAAGCTGAAAGTTTTAATTTATTGTGTGTATTATACCATAATGAGAAATATTCACCTACCTCCACCACCAAAAAAATATAAATCACCTATGATGTCATAATTTATATTAAAATAAAATTTAGTGAAAAGGGGAAAAAGTGTAAGAAGCATAATAATAGTAAAATCTATACTAAATAGCAGCAGTCTTTTGAAGCTCTTCTGCAGCTTTGGTTATTGATTTGACAGCCCTTGTTTCTATTTTTAGATGTATCCTAAAAAGTACACAACAGTTCTCTCAACAATTCAGATATTTATTTCTTGGTAATATAATAGGGACATTTGGTAATACGAATATAATATGTACATTTAATTTAAATGCGTGTAATTAGTAACTGCAAGTAATGTCACCTGTTTGAGGGGCGGGAACTTCAGTTTTCTTCTTTTTAGATGAAGAGCAGTTTTATTCATGGTGAGGAACTTTTTCTTTTTTTTATGGTTTCATCTCCCCCCTCCTCCACAAAATGTATGATAATTCTAATTAAAGTGATATTTGAGTTTGGTTGTATTTGATAGGCTATAAAATATTTGAGCTATTTAAAATAGGAATGCTTTAAACATAGTTTCTTCCTATACTTTAAACATACTTAATTTTAGAGGTTCTTCGCTACCATATTTGTGTAAATCTATTTTAAAAAATTTCGTAAATTTATTAAATCAGATATTATACTTTCCTTTTAAATATTCAAAATTTTTCTTTGTCTGTTTTATCTCTTCATTTTCACTACTCTTCTATAGAAGTTTAAAGTTTCTGTGTCTTTCTATATTTCTCTTTTTACATTTTTAAAAACTTTTTTTTTTGTTTTTTAAATGAAATCTTTTACTTAGCTTTTTTGTTTCAGAGTTTTTGAATATGTCTCTACAGAAATGCTGAGTTTGGTCTTCTGGTTTTTTTTTTTTTTTTTTTTTTTTTAATAAATCCTTGTTTTGATTTTGATATTGAAACAAACAAGGGACAAAGTGATTCTATTTTCATGTTATTTATTTGGTTACAAGTAAATATATGCTTTACTGGATGAATTTTTCAGGAGGGAACTCCAGCTCCATTTCTGAATGTACAGTTGTCTTCAAGTTGTGCTGAATTGAAAGAATTTATTTGGAATCCAGTGATTGATGGAATGTATGCTTTCTGTTTGACTGATGGATCCCTTTATGTGCATGAACTTAATGGGACTGTTTTAAAAATTGTTGCTAGTCAAGCTCAGGCAGCTGCTACAGCAGGTTTGTATAATATATTTATATCATATACAAATTTCATAAATTAATTATTGCTGAAAATTGAGGTGATAGATTTTTTTTTCTGTATTTAGTCAAATGTATGGAATTCTCTGCAAATTTTATAGCCAAAATTTTGATATATATATATATATAATTACAAAACAATTCTTTTGAAAACCAGATGTCTCAGAACTTTTTCTGATTTCAAATATTCATAAGGCATAAAATTTGACACATATACAAGTACTTTTTATCTTGAATTGCGTGTAACATTTTCAAGTTTTTGTGTACAGAATGAATTAATCTCTACATGTGATCCTTTCGTTGCCCAAAGGATATTCCAATACCATCCATTTGTTGTGCAGCATTACATATGAGGGATGGATGTTATGACTTCAGTAATTCTGTGTCTGTAATGCTGCAATGTCTTTCACTGGTGTTTTTGGTAAATCTGGTTCTTAACCCCTTCGCACCGGGTAGCGCAAACACGTGCTTATCGCGTAGGCCGGCAGTGCCTTACACGAGCGTCTGTCCAGGGCCAGAGGCTTTTTTGCTATTAAGCCTAAATCCACGAAATTTCCGAAGTATCACCGCATTGTTTAATAATGCTCTATAAAGTATTTAAACGGCTTATGCTTTATAGATATTTCTATATATACTTTAATTACCTTATTTCTTGTTTAAATGCATATTTTACACATTTTATTTTCATTACTCACCATTTTATGACTTTTAGCATTATACATCTGAAAACTAAATATATTACTTAAAATTCTCTTTTCGTATGAAAAATTTGAAAACAGTGATCTACACACAGTCCTATGTTACGTTCATTGGACTCGTAATAATGACATGATGAATGAGACATTATTATTAAGGATTAATGATTATGAGGACATCTGTATGCCGACGTCGGCTACAGTCGAAAGTCCTCATCATCATTAGATTCGCCAGATTCCCTTATGAGAATATTCATAGTATCACTATCCTACATCAGAATTTGTTTCAGAATCAATATCTGAAATTTTGCAGGCATTTCTGCTATTTCATGCCTGTTAAATTTTCGGCTTCGACAGCAATGGTAAACTGAAAGTCAAGATCTAATATTTTCTAAAAACTGAACTGCAAACCGAAATACCCACGCTTTAGCGAAAATAAACTTCTCTACTTACAATAAACAACACCACGTGCGTATTTAAAGAGATCTTAAATCCCATTCGGAACATTTATTTCCCCTTTTATTTATATGTTTACGAATTGGTATTTAAAAAGCTAATGTTAGTTCAATTATAATTAAATGGTTTTATTTCCCGTGCAGTGCAGCACGTGACGAATATTAAAAGAAAGCTAAGCCAGAAAATTGAAAATACAAGAGCGCGTGCATTAAATAAATAAATATCTCTTTTTGATTTCGAGAAAGTACTTGAAAATTCTAGCGCGCGATTTTAAAATCTTATAAAAGGAGGAAAACATCTCAGTTCGTAGTAGTTGCTTAGTTTGTTGTTGTTTAGAAAACTGCTCTTGTTGATTGTAGCGAATTCGCGTATTAGCGTTCTTTAGCTGTTTTGAATTACGTCTATTGGATATTTGAGTAGTTAAAAGATAACTACTGTAAGATATTGTAATACTGCATGATAATTTGAAAAAATTTAAGCATTTTTGTTGTGATAATAATAAATTTTTGTTCATTTTTCATCGGACTTGTGCATTCATTTCATAACAAACCCGTGCGCACGCAACACTATAATCAAAAACACGTGTATGTGAGTCATGCTTCTCTCATTTCGAGTAGAAGGTGTAATGTATGTATGTGAAACCATATTTGGACATACAGTGCCATCTTGTGGCAGAAATTATAGTTTTTAAACGTTCCAGTACACGGCACAAGACGTGACAGTCGGTGGCTGAACGGGAAAAAGCTCTGGCACGCCTGCGTGTTGGCCGGGAAGTGAGTGTGTTTGTTGCTGGCACGTAGACGTGACAGTCGGCGCGAAGGGGTTAACATAACCCCAAAGAAAGAAATCCAGTAGTTTTATGTCCAGTAATCACAGAGGCCTGTTTATGGTTTCATCTTCCCAGGAATGTTGTATCCAAATGGGCACAGACATCTAACCTGTAGTGAGGACATCTAATCCCACCAACTAACCGCACCATCTTGTTGGAAAATGTTCTGAATGTTCAGGAATGTTCTGAATTTGTCCCGCATTAAATAACTGCAACATATCAAAATAAGTATTGGTTGTGATCATTTTTTTCACTTAAGAAAAAAAAAAGGTCCTATGATTTTATTGTGCATAAGACTGCAGCATACATTCAACTTAGGGCTGTCTCTCATGGTTTCAAACACAGGATGGGGATTCTCGGATCTCCAGATTCTAGCATATCGGTTGACAACACCATTCAAATGAAATGTGGCTTCATCTGAGAAAACAACATGTTTGAGATAGCCAACGTGTTTCTTAGTGTTAGACAGCATGGCAACAGAAAGTCGTAATGAGTTCTCTAATCCATTGGTTGTAGAGACTGCACATCTGGACTTTGTACACATGGAAAAGAAGATGTTTATGTAGGATGCAATGCACAGATGGCTTGGGAATCTGCAAATCACATGAGGCTCTGTGCACTGACTTCTTGTGATTTCTCCCAAAGTGTCTCTCACTGTCTGAATTGCCTGTGCACTAAGTCCAGGCCTACCTGTTCTAGGAAGATCAGGAGATCACAGACACTGCCAGCGTCCTTAAACTTGGCATATCACATCTTGATGCTTTTAACATATGGTGGCTGTCTGTGGTATGCCATCTGGAATTGTCTCTGGATTGTTTATCGTGACTGTGTCTCATGATACCAGAGGACACATTGGGCGTTTTCCTAGTTTGAGTACATGTTTGTGCAAATGGTGTCTGATTCCGCTCTAACAAAGTAACAGTAAGTATTCACACCAAAACTTTAATATGTTGCCCGCATTTCAAGATAAAAAATATTTGTCTATGTGCCATATTTTATGCCTTATCAATATTTGTAATAAGGGAAGGAATTCTGAAACACCCTATATATACACATGTATACAGTACAAAGTTTGAGATCCAGAATTGTTCGAACTGTAAAAATTTTGGGTCTTAGAAATTTCCAGATTTTTTTTAGATCATTGGTTTAAATTTGTACGATGACATGTGCATATGGCAACATTGGGACTTTGCTTATTATTTAGATCAGATAAAGAATGCTAACTGTCTAGCAGGGCTGTGCTAGAGTGGTGCAGCTTCACCATGAATGCAGCAGAATTTAGGGAAGGCAGAAATTTTAGAATTTAGGGGAGCATCAAGCAACAAAATTAGAGATGGCAAAATTTTTAAATTTTAGGAGAGGTGCTGGACAGCAGAATTTAGGAGTGTGAAATATTTAATGTTTAGCTTGTACCAGTTGTCAGAATTTAGACCCCGCAGAGACAATATGTTTCAATATGTAGCATTGGTTCTGCGTGCTCTACAACTTTTTAAGGGCTGAAAGTGTTATTCTGGCCAACATCAAGTATGATGTCAATCAATGTATTGTTATTGGCTATGGTTCGAATCCCCAGCCAGCTGTTGTCTGAAAGTGATATACAGTCAAAAGTCTTTAATCCGGACTCATCGGGACTTCGGCGATTCCGGATTATCGATTTTTCCGGATTATAGATCATCAGTTTAAATCTGGTAAGATGGCATGCAGAAATTATAAAATTAAAAATATGAAACCGTAATTTATAAATAATGAGCAATTATGATCTAAAGGGTATCAAAATTTACCAAAAAAGAAGCCTAATATTTATTTGTTTACTTTATTAAACATTTCTTTTCAATGCGCGGATGCGTAAAGCATACCTTGCGCATAGCCGAATTAGAAAATTGCAACCAGAAAACTATTTGATTTGTATTCGTGATATTTATAATGACGAGGAATTTGATTTAAATCATATCAAGACGGAGTACATCGAAATTAAATACTACATTTAGTAAGGAATTATAAGCGAATAAAATAAAAACATCTGCCCTGAAGATAACGATGTTGACAAATCAACTTCAGTTCATTGCGCGCCGCGACGTTCCTCCTCCCCCGCCCGCGCAGAGCAGCGTGAAATTGATAAACAGATTTTGGAACGGTTAGATAAACAAAGAATATGCCTTTATCCATTTTTTGTAGCAATTCGTTTTTTGTTTGATGGACATTGAAACATACTTTCGTTTTCTAGATCCTTTGGGAGCTCCAGCATCGGAAATTCTATTTGACATAATTGAAAGTTCAAGCTTACTTTTAGAAAATTGCTCTTACAGTCTGCAAAAATAATAAGCCGGATCCAGTTCGAAGATTAAGGTACAACGCAATCATCAACATTAACTGAAATAGATAATTAGATAATTTTAGCTTATACCGTCCGTTATATATTAAACGCGCACGCGAAAACGTATTCTGCACTTGCGCAGATGCATATGCGCAGTTGTAAATGTCTTGCGCGCACGAGTAAAACGCCTATGCGCATGCGTCAATGCGGCGCATGCGCAGAAAGATTTTAGCTTTGAAGTCCGGATTATGGGTGTCCGAATTAACGACTTTTGACTGTACAGCAATCTTAGCTAGCCGAGAGAAAAATTGAATTTATGGCACTCTTGTTTCCCTTTGTTGTTCTTTTTGATATTCTCCATGTCTAGATTTTGTAAGGTAAGGAAGGTTTTTTTAAAATTATTTATTAATTTTTTGCTGTTGGTCTGGATATTGGATGTATGGTTTGCAAACTTTGTACTGTGTGTCTAGTATATATATATAATCAATTTGGAGGTCAATGATGTAAGGGAATCCTGATTATTCTATCTTAGGAAAAATGTAGTGAAGTAATTATTACAAAGCCTGTTGTACGAGAATCCTGAACTGGTAAAACTTAAAGATGTATTTACCACCGAGTTGCTGTACTGCCTGTTATATGACTATCAGCATTTATATTCAATTGGTGGAGCCTTCTATTATCGCTA